TGACTTTAAAGATTGTTATTTTGACTTGATGGCATTCTGCCTGTGTTTAATGGTGTTTATTGTTCATCTGCAGCTTTCAGGTTCAGCTTCAGCTTACTATCTGCAATGCATTTGGGGAAAATGCTCACGATCAAATTGTGTCCACTAAGAAGTAATTTGTTATCCCTGACAGGCTCAGACTGTTATTCTAAGAGTCTTACCTACAGAGATAGACTTTGTAGTTAAAGGGGTCATATTCTTCTTTTTCTGGTTTTATATGCTTCAGTGTGTTTTCCAAGTGTCCTGTGCATGTTTAGGCACATCTATGTGCAAAAATTCAAAGTCCACGGAAAAGCAGCTTCTCCTATGTCCTCCCGTTAGCTGCAGCATTAGCCGCATGTAACGCTCGGTTCTAGCCCCCCTCGAAAACAATTTGCCAGTGCGACGTCATTGTCAGTGTGATATCACTGATCTAAGCCCATTGGCTCGTTGTGGTAAGCCCTGCAGCTCATGTTGCACGCCCATTAACTTCTGTAGCACGCCCACGATGTGCCGTAGTCTGCGGTAGCACAGTAGTGCTAAGGTGCTAATGTTTTTGCTCGGCCCTCGGAGCCAAGTGGCTGCATTCCCAATATGGTAAAAGGGGCGTGACATTCACAAGAACCGTGCTGAGCGACTGACCAATTCCGGCAGAGCCGACAGGCCGACCAATCAGATCAGACTTGGCACACGTGGGGACTCTGAACGTGGGCACTTCAGAGCCTTAGAGAGAGAGTCAGAAGCGAGCCGGTGCATGGAGCAGCCGTACATGAAAACAGATACTTTTTTATAACTTTATCTATTGTGAACATACTTTAGTAGGTACATAGATTAAATATACGAACCCCAAAAAGGGCATAATATGGGCTCTTTAAAGCACAGTCTGTAACTTTTCCTCCTTAAAACAGTTGTTTAGAAGTTGATCTCATAGAACAATAACCTCCAACAGGGAGCATGGCGTCTCTGTCACATCCACAGAGCGCCCCCCTTGCCGGTTTTCAGCACTATGTAACTTTGGCAGCAGGCCGAGGTTATCTGGTGAGAAGGTCGTATGTCTTTACGGCGCTAGTTCACACAGCAGCCTTCAGCTACAAAGCAGCCAGTTAGCCCGTCTCTGTACTGTTTGATACAACGACTGAGAGTAGGAGGAAGATGACGGAGACGGAGGAAGATAAGTAGAGAGAGTGAGCGAGCAGGACTAGAGGAAATATTGGAGCTTGATGATAGATTACCTTTGCTGGTTGCTTGCTATCCTTATCTCCAAATAAATAATGCTCCCAGTACAGAATCACTTTACACCACTACTCGCTGTATTCACACTCTAAGAAAACAAAACAGAATTCCTCCATAATGATGTCTTCAAAAGGAAAAGGATGTTTTTAAGAGCACAAACAGCTATGTTACTTCTTTTCAAAGACACCAGACGCCATTGACAAAAACAGTAGTCACAGGACACAGGAGACACTGAATTGAAATATTGAATTAACATGCAATAACACAAATAAACTAACTGATCTTGGCAACAGGGGACTAGCTGGTTAAAAGGTTTCTTAGAAGGTAAAATGACTGTTTTTCTAAATGAAGTCTGGGTGTTTGAAGCGAACCATTTAGGTCTACTTCTTAGTGCCAGACACTAAGAGAAACTAATTAAGCCTGTCGGGGGAAAAATAAAGAACTTTAAGTGGGCAGAATGTGATACATAATGTGTATTTTGAGCTTTCTTGTCTGTTAATGTGTATTTTGAGCTTTCTTGTCTGCAACGCCTGAATTTCCCCTCTGGGGATTAATAAAGTATTATCTTATCTTACAAATTATTTGGTAAAAGGGAACTCTAAAACCAGACCGACTGGTTTGTGCAGGAAATTCCTCATTAGGAAATCCGATAACCAATCAACGAGGTAGAACTCCTCGGAGCCAAACATCAAATTATGTTCGGTCACGTCTTAAACCCAAACAGGCACCACAATCCACAGTCTCCATGTGGAAAGACCTCAATGCAAACTGATCCACAGACCCAGGAACCACTTTGTGCCAGCTGCCAACATCAGCCTCAAATGAACCTCACTGTAAGCTCTGACAAACACAGAACTCACCACAGGGACGTATAGTAGGAGGTTAACCTCTCTCATCAAAGATTACAGCAGCTCAGGAGAAGAAGAACACAGGAGAGCATGCAGTCATATTTTCATCAAACACAGGTGTGTTTTCTCGTGTTTTTACAGTTAAATCTGGTTATTGTAACGAGTCTTCAAAGGTACAACTGTGAAGGTGTGAAGAGAAACCAAACAACTGTCAAACATTACAAACTGTTTTGAGGTGATGGGTTGGTAAGTGATGGAGGTGATGGGTTGGTTAGTGATGGAGTGATGGGTTGGTTAGTGATAGAGGTGATGGGTTGGTTAGTGGTGGAGGTGATGGGTTGGTAAGTGGTGGAGGTGATGGGTTGGTAAGTGATGGAGGTGATGGGTTGGTTAGTGATGGAGATGATGGGTTGGTTAGTGATGGAGGTGATGGGTTGGTTAGTGATGGAGGTGATGGGTTGGTTAGTGATGGAGGTGATGGGTTGGTTAGTGATGGAGGTGATGGGTTGGTTAGTGATAGAGGTGATGGGTTGGTTAGTGGTGGAGGTGATGGGTTGGTAAGTGATGGAGGTGATGGGTTGGTAGTGATGGAGGTGATGGGTTGGTTAGTGATGGAGATGATGGGTTGGTTAGTGATGGAGGTGATGGGTTGGTTAGTGATGGAGGTGATGGGTTGGTTACTGATGGAGGTGATGGGTTGGTTAGTGATGAGGTGATGGGTTGGTTAGTGGTGGAGGTGATGGGTTGGTTAGTGATGGAGGTGATGGTTGGTTAGTGATGGAGGTGATGGGTTGGTTAGTGATAGAGGTGATGGGTTGGTTAGTGGTGGAGGTGATGGTTGAGAAAGTGATGGAGGTGATGGTTGGTTAGTGATGGAGGTGATGGGTTGGTTAGTGATGAGGTGATGGTTGGTTAGTGGTGGAGGTGATGGTTGGTAGTGATGGAGGTGATGGGTTGGTAGTGGTGGAGGTGATGGGTTGATAAGTGATGGAGGTGATGGGTTGGTTAGTGATAGAGGTGATGGGTTGGTTAGTGGTGGAGGTGATGGTTGATAAGTGATGGGGTGATGGGTTGGTTAGTGATAGAGGTGATGGGTTGGTTAGTGGTGGAGGTGATGGGTTGATTAAGTGATGGAGGTGATGGGTTGGTTGTGATGAGGTGATGGGTTGGTTAGTGATGGAGGTGATGGGTTGGTTAGTGATGGAGGTGATGGGTTGGTTAGTGATAGAGGTGATGGGTTGGTTAGTGATGGGAGGTGATGGGTTGATAAGTGATGGAGGTGATGGGTTGGTTAGTGATGGAGGTGATGGGTTGGTTAGTGTGGAGGTGTGGGTTGATAATGATGGGAGGTGATGGGTTGGTAGTGATAGAGGTGATGGGTTGGTTAGTGATGGAGGTGATGGGTTGGTTAGTGATGGAGGTGATGGGTTGGTTAGTGGTGGAGGTGATGGGTTGGTTAGTGATAGAGAGGTGATGGGTTGGTTAGTGTGGAGGTGATGGGTTGGTTAGTGATGGAGGTGATGGGTTGGTTAGTGATGGAGGTGATGGGTTGGTTAGTGATGGAGGTGATGGGTTGGTTAGTGGTGGAGGTGATGGGTTGGTTAGTGATGGAGGTGATGGGTTGGTTAGTGATGGAGGTGATGGGTTGGTTAGTGATGGAGGTGATGGGTTGGTTAGTGGTGGAGGTGATGGGTTGGTTAGTGATGGAGGTGATGGGTTGGTTAGTGTGGAGGTGATGGGTTGGTAAGTGGTGGAGGTGATGGGTTGGTTAGTGATATGTGTTTTATATAGAGTGATGGGTTGGTTAGTGGTGGAGGTGATGGGTTGGTAAGTGGTGGAGGTGATGGTTGGTTAGTGATGGAGGTGATGGGTTGGTTAGTGGTGGAGGTGATGGGTTGATAAGTGATGGAGGTGATGGGTTGGTTAGTGATGGAGGTGATGGGTTGGTTAGTGGTGGAGGTGATGGGTTGGTTAGTGATGGAGGTGATGGGTTGATAAGTGATGGAGGTGATGGGTTGGTTAGTGGTGGAGTGATGGGTTGATAAGTGATGGGGTGATGGGTTGGTTAGTGATGGAGGTGATGGGTTGGTTAGTGGTGGAGGTGATGGGTTGGTTAGTGATGGAGGTGATGGGTTGGTTAGTGGTGGAGGTGATGGGTTGGTTAGTGATGGAGGTGATGGGTTGGTTAGTGATGGAGGTGATGGGTTGGTTAGTGGTGGAGGTGATGGGTTGGTTAGTGATGGAGGTGATGGGTTGGTTAGTGATGGAGGTGATGGGTTGGTTAGTGATGGAGGTGATGGTTGGTTAGTGGAGGTGATGGGTTGGTTAGTGTGGAGGTGATGGTTGATAAGTGGTGGAGGTGATGGGTTGGTTAGTGATAGAGGTGATGGGTTGGTTAGTGTGGAGGTGATGGTTGGTTAGTGGTGGAGGTGATGGGTTGGTAAGTGGTGGAGGTGATGGGTTGGTTAGTGATGGAGGTGATGGGTTGGTTAGTGATGGAGGTGATGGGTTGGTTAGTGGTGGAGGTGATGGGTTGATAAGTGATGGAGGTGATGGGTTGGTTAGTGATGGAGGTGATGGGTTGGTTAGTGGTGGAGGTGATGGGTTGGTTAGTGATGGAGGTGATGGGTTGATAAGTGATGGAGGTGATGGATTGGTTAGTGGTGGAGGTGATGGGTTGGTTAGTGATGGAGGTGATGGGTTGGTTAGTGATGGAGGTGATGGGTTGGTTAGTGATGGAGGTGATGGGTTGGTTAGTGATGGAGGTGATGGGTTGGTTAGTGGTGGAGGTGATGGGTTGGTTAGTGATGGAGGTGATGGGTTGGTTAGTGGTGGAGGTGATGGGTTGGTTAGTGGTGGAGGTGATGGGTTGGTTAGTGATGGAGGTGATGATGTCGTTACCTGGCTCAGAATCAGCGCTTGGCTCAAAGACACTTCAGCAGGGGGACGGAGGCCTCTGATCCTTAAAGACACAGACATTTTATTAACCAATGATATCTCTCATAAACAACACTGCAACTTCTACTTCAGTGACTTCACTGTGCAATCCTTGAGTGAACTCTTTTATTAGTGATTCAGCAATGTGAGCAGACAGTTTATAAAACCACAATTACTTCCTGGCTAGAGTTCCACCCTGAGAGCAGATAAACAGGAAGTAGAACATCACTTATCGTCTCTGATTGGTTCCTGCCTCGGCTTGCTCTCCCCGCTAATGACCGCACGCTAAGGAATGTAAACTGTGACCAAAAAAGGCTTCACTCTCTCACCTCTTATCACACACGCGCACACAAACACACACACACACACACACACACACACACACAGACAGGATCCAGAGGAGAAAAGTACTTGAAACTTGAAACAGGATTTAGAGGTTAAAAAAATCAGTTAAATCACATTCACTCTAAGGTGTATATGTTGCCGCTCCCAGAGCAGAAGGAGCAACATTGGGGTTACGTTTCTTGCCTTGGGGGGGCACGTAGCCACCCTATGTATGGAGGCTGTGGCCTTTCGGCTTGGGTTCAGATCTGACCTGTGGCTCCTTTCCCGCATGTAGTCCCCCCCCTCTCTGTCCTGTCTCTAAGTGACCTGCCCGAGGACACATCGGACATGTGGCTGCAGGAGCTGAGGGTTGAACCCCCAGTCCTTCCAGTTGAAAGACAACCGATTCTACCACTGAGTCACAGCGGCTCCTCGTCGGTGGTCAAAATGTTCGATACTTCTATACCTTTTCGATATCAAAGTTTTTTTAAACAGTACAATGTCTGTTCGATCATTTCAAAAAGGAACAACACAGGTATAAGGTCAATAAATACTGCAGGCAGTCTCCTGTACATGAAACATTGCCAATGTTTTAAACAACTTAGTGTGCAGGAGTTATCCTGCAATAGAAATATTTAGCGCCTTGTGGCCGTAGTATCCTTCTTACTCATAAGACCTTTAAAGCATCAGCAAAGATCGATGATAGTTGCAGAACGAGGTCACAGAGACCATCAGCAATCAGTACAATAACATCTAAACTATCAGAAAAGATGAAACTGTCACTGTTTCTAACAGAAACCCTATCTTTATAGTTTAAGATTAGCTTATAGGTTTTGTTTTTATCCTTTGGAAAAGTGAGAGTACACTTAAACGACAACATGTTAACATATTGTTGTTCTTATCATCGATGGATCTTCAGTATTTTATCACAGCGGCATCAGTAGCCTTCAGCAGTCGGCCCTGCAGAGCAAAGTTTATCATTCTGAACTCTGAGCTGCAGGCAGTGCATACCAAACATGCATCGACCACACACACACACACACAACACACACACACACACACACACACACACCACACACACACATACAGCAGGGGCGATTGTAGAGTATGTCGGGGCCCGAGGCAAAACTTGATTGGGGGCCCCTCCAATCAGTGTTCATCACCATTAAGTCCTCCTCTTTTTTCTTTAGTTTTCATTGAAAAATGCATGTGATGTTTAGCAGGGCATGGAAAGAGAGTGCCATCAGATGGGGCCCCTCTTAGGGAGGTTCCGACAGTCAAATTTGTGAACAGGGTTGCCACTATATCAGAATTTCAAACTTTTCAGGATTTCATTCTATAAAAAATCTGATTATATTGATATACCTGCTGTGACACATGTATCTGTGATCTTATTCTTTAGGTCACTTCTCAAAGCTCATGACTCCAGGAGGGTAGAACAAAGACCGACCAGTAAAAATCAAGAGCTTTGCCTTCAGGCTCACAAAACCATTACAGTGGCAGAGTTTTTGAACATTTTAGACAGTTTACAGCAGATTGATGATGCTATTTTTGATCGACTCAAGCACCTGTTTTGTTAAAGCTTCAGAACTTTTCGATGCTATCAGTCATTAAAATAACAGAGAACGTATCGTTGAACATTTTGACCTTATTGTCTTTATTGCTCCTTTTACTTTATCCTCAGAATAACAGTCTAAACATGAGCACAGCTAATTACTATGATTTTAACGACTTTAATGATGATAATCGTTAACAGAGCCATGTTATGAATTAAAGATATGAACGTTTTAAACAATACATCAACAACAGCTGCTCTGCTGTGTTGAAAATGTGTAGAGACAGATGTTTCAGTTTTTTTCAGTCCATCTATGGCAAACTGTGGGAGTGTATATCAGGCCTGTGCGATTACGTCCAGATCAAAACCTGACAGACACAAGGCTATAAATCTGATCTAAAGAATGCATCTGTATGTTTCTGTTTTTGTGCACGCCTCACTTTGAATCTTGAAACTCTGAGCCATCCGACCCCTGAGAGTATAAAGGTCAGGAGGCGTGAGAGCAGCATCAGATAGTGTTGAGACCGTAGAAACAGAGATAATAGATGTGAGAATGGAGATGTTAAGAGTGACAGGACGGATGATCTCATGAAGAACAGGACAGATTGAACAGATTGCAGACGCTCTGCAGAAGAAGGGAGGTGTGATATCATATCACCATGAATCAATGTGCAGAGATCAAAACACCTCTCAGCGCTGTAAAGCTCCCTCACTGTGTCACAGACTCTGCAGATCCGACTGAGTGACGTCACCCGTCTGTTCCTGCAGACGGGTGACACTCCAGGAACTGCAGGATTTTACACTTTCCGCTTGATCCGACATAACATCACTTTTGATTTCAGTCTGTTTCATAACCAGTTACAAACTCCTCACAGGAGCCTTAACTGCTTTAAGACAGTGAGTGATTAAAATTGTGAAATGAACTGAATCAAATCAAAATTATTTTTTTTAAGTCAGTACCTCATCGTCACCATCATGATGTTTTGTGCATCTTGCTCTCCTTCCATATAACATAAACAGATTCATTACTTGACAACCCTGGGTTTACTTTGTTTTGCATCATTCAGTTCCACCTTCTAAACGTCAGATTGGATCTCAGGCTCAATGGATGAACAATAAGACGTAAAAAAGCCGGTTTCTAGTGTGAATGTCACGTCTGTCACCTTGTGGCCACATGGACGGAGTTTCCTGGGTGATGGTGAGTGGATTGTTTTTGTGAAGTAAATTAAATCAAATGAAATCTGAAGGATTAATTCATGCTGAAGTCAGCTGCACAGAGATATATTTAAGGCCCTATAGGAGTGTTACGTAATGAGCTCTGTTTCATGTTTAAGACGTTGAATCAGAAACAGATGACCTGCAGATGTGGGGGGTGGGGTCTGTCATTGGGGGAGTTTACAGTGCATTCAGTCTCTGAAGCCTCTGAGGGTCCACATTTGATCTTTTCTTACACTGAGCAGAGCTGCCTGAAGTACGGAAGCTCAACCAGGACAAAAACCGAGTTTGTTTGTTATCTACTTTAAAAGTTGAAATACTCCTTGAGGGCCTGCGTCCAAAGATGGCTGTTTGCATTTACAGCACTCTCGGTTGAACAGAGCACACACAACGATGTCACTTCCCCCTCACTGACCAATCAAAATTATCAAAGGGGCGGGACTTCTGATATCAGGAGAGAACATCAAGTGTAGAGCTGCTGATGTCAGGACATGACTCCTTTACATCTTTTTCTTGGGGAAATGTTGTTTAATTAAAGCAAATTTTAAACACACAGAGCTAAAACACACCTAACAGACATTACAGAGGGAAGCAGAAATTAACTTCCTAACCTAGCAACAATGAGCCTCCATACAATCTGGTCACTAACAAAACTCTGGACAGTCTGGGCACTTATGAGCCTGCATACAGTCTGGATGCTAATGAGCCCCCATACAGTCCGTACAGTCTTTACAGTCTGGTCACTAACGAGCCTCCATACAGTCCGTACAGTCTTTACAGTCTGGTCACTAACGAGCCTCCATACAGTCCGTACAGTCTTTACAGTCTGGTCACTAACGAGCCTCCATACAGTCTGGCTCTCTGGCTTCACTCAGAAAGTATTTCTCTGCAGTTTTTCATCAGGCAACACAAAGACAGTGTGGAGTGAAACAAGACAAGGACGCACAGCTCAGCACCAAAGTGTTCAGAAGAGTCCGAGCAAAGAGAGAGAGAGAGAGAGAGAGAGAGAGAGAGAGAGAGAGAGAGAGAGAGAGAGAGAGAGAGAGAGAGAGAGAGAGAGAGAGAGCGAGAGAGAGAGCGAGAGAGAGAGAGAGAAACATGTGAAAGATTCCTGCATGTGTTTCACATCCAAATGTAAATGTGAAAAACTGAGCATGAGGACATTTGATACAGATGGATAACAGACTTTGCACTACATGCAACATCCTTCCTATAGCTGACTGAATTAAGAACTGTATGGTATAACTTTAAAACAGAAATGGTCACACAATTATTTAATGAAAATTATTTAAATAACCGATTAATCCTTTCAGTATTAACAACAAAATGTAAACATTTGCTGCTTTGAGATTCTTCTAAATTTGAGGATTTGTTGATTTTCTGCTTCTCTATGTTGAAATAATGATTTTTAAATTAAGAAGTCCGATTATGTCATGGAATCCGACCTCTACGACTATCGAATAACGGCTAAAATGGCCCATCTTAATTTTTTCTTTAATTTATTTTGACAGCTTGACACGTCTTAAAATATCCTTTGGGGGTCTGTGGAGTTGTAATGTGCAATTTCAACTTGCTTAGGACATTTAAATGCACCGACAGAAAAGAGCGAAATAATCTCCTGCTTCAGCCTCACATGCACTTTGTGTCAAACCTGGATAAAAAAACCAGCAGAATTGTCCTTTCACTATAAATTGACTTATTTCTGGTCAGGAGTCGGCTCTCCCTCTTTCACAGACAGCAGATTTTACAGACTGACAGAAACCATTTACAGTGATCAGTAATTAAAGCTGAGTGCTAATAAATACGGGCTGTGCAGCACGACAGATTTATGTCTCAATCATGTTTCTTCACAGTGATAAATCAAGAGAGGGTTCAAGCTTCAAATTTCAGCCCTTAAAGTTAAACACTTCCAGAAAGAGAGGAGCGGGAAGAGAGAACAATATCTGCAGATAGAAGATCAGAACATGCTCAAAAAGACGAGGATAAAAAACACTCATCTCACAACTATGATCAGCTTTTTGTAACTTGCAGATTTTAAGTGCAAATGTGAAAAATATGAAGGAATATATATGAAAAAGGAAGGATTAACAAGGCGATAGGATTCTTATTAACAAAGCAACACCAAATATCACAACTACAACCAAAAACACATGCTAAAAAACATCCATTGAATCAGCTTTTTGTTTATTTTAAAAAGACAAGAATCTTAAAAGTTGTATTAAAAGTATGCAAATGTGATCTACAGCGCAACAAAAAGGAAACAATATCAGTATCACACAAAACATCAATTTAAACAGATTTTTTGTGCCTTACAAAGGGACAACTTAAAGGCAAGAATCTAAAAAGGATCCACACACTTTATTAAAATATCCCAGGGATTTTAATTGCAAATCTCAAAGATCTTCTTCTGCAATGTCAGCTTTGGTTTGATTGGTTTTTGACAAAGCCTGAAGAAGATCTGTGAGATAATATATTATAATTCCTGAGAGCTCTTAATACAGAGCACGTTCACTCTGATGTTTGATCCAGCACCTGTGAATGTTGCTCTTTGGAGGTGCGTCCCTAACACGAAGAAGGCCAGGAGCACTTCACACCTTGATTTCTTTCTTACTCTGAAGAACAAACTAAAACTCTGAAGATCTAAAAAGTGTGTTTGGGAGCTCCTGACGCTCTGGATTGAAGCCACATGGATCTACATGAACCTTTAAAACAAACTCTACTCTGCACATTTAAAGGTGAGTCTGGTAGAAAAAGAAGCTGTGCTGTATGTTTTTCATTCATGCAGGAGTAAAGAGACACTTACAGATCTGCTGCTCTGCGTCCGCGCCCTCTGCACGCTCAACACACGAGTCCAGCCATGTAGGGAGGTGCAGGCTTGTTCCTGCAGGAGGAAACACCTCCCAGCTGTCCACTCCACCCACCCCCAAAGATCTGCATATACTGAGGAGGGTGGAGGAAAGAAATCCAGAACCAGTACCACAACATGAGAACTGCAGCTCACAGGAACAGTTTATTCTGGTTTGACTTTTTCTTGACTTTTGCCTCGGGAAGTAAAGTCCTTTTAGAGATTAACAGATTGTTTTCACACATGCACTCCTGAAAATGTCTAGATAAAATCAGGAGGACGGCCCCTGAAATCCTCCTGATATGATTGTTCACACATGCACCTCACAACAGGAGACTATCCCTGTCAGCCATAAGGGAGGGGCGGGGTCTAAGGAGGCAAGACATGAGGCAAAAGAACGACGCAGAATGTGTAATTGAAGAGAATCTCAATGTAATCTAAAGAGAGGAGAAGAACATCCTGGAGAACAGGAAACATGCAGCAGCAGGTTGATTAGAGCACGGAGATGGTAGAGGTGGCGTGCAGACAGTCTGTGGTCGTGCAGCGATCACAGGGAATAAAGGTCACCACCCCCTCCCACTGGCCCCTCCCACTGGCTCCAGGTGAATTCTCCTGATTATATCCTGCTGTGTTCTCACATCAGCTCTACCTTTAATTTCCGCCTGGCAGGAAAAAGTCAGGGTAAAGTCGGAGTAAAGAATTCAGACATTTTGCGTTCACACATGCAGCTCAACCCGAAAAACTTCAGGAGTTTTGTGCGAGTGTGAAAACACTGAGAGTGTCCTCGCCAAGAGAGGGAGCAGCAGGACTTCACTGCTGCGAACATAAGACACAAACTTAAAGATATCAGAAAACATGCATCATTGTTTTAAACATCTACAAGCTGCAGACAAGTTATTGTATTATAATCACTTTCGACAGGTCCAGAGAGATCCAGACGACTTGACTAAGTAGAGAAGCAGCCTTTCATTTCCTTTGCCCAGTTCAACAAAGACGTTAGTGGAAATTCATTGGAATAATTCCTGGGCGAACAGTCAATAACCTCCCAGAATTTTGTTGAAAGAAAATCTGTACATGAGGCAGAGCGAGAGAGAGAGCTAACAGCAGCATGAATCGGAACTCATTTAAAGGGAAGACTATGCATTTTTTAGCTGACCTTTTTTTTTTAACATGTTTTGGGGCCTAAATGACAAATATGTTCCAATATTTTTGAATTTCTCCAGAAGATTCCTTCAGCTGGCTGCAGGGAAATGAGCTGTAACGGAGCTCAACAGTGACCGCTCCACTTTTTTGGCGGCTCTGTTTCTGGAAGTAAATTTCCACGTTCAAATCCTCCCTTGATTTTTCACAGAATCTTTTATCAAGAGATTGTCGCCTGGAACCAAGACAGCCAGCTACCCCATTACTCGTGACTGTAGCACATTTAGTTCTGCACCAAAACTGAAAAGAAGGCAAAGGTACAAGACTGTGTACATCATTTTCGTCCGGAGTCAAGGAACTACCCATCCCATAATCTATTGCGAAGTATATCGTTTTTTCTTAAATGTAACTTTACTCGTTGTTATCGTGTCGAGTCACAGCGAATAGCTTCCTCCATTCTTTTCTTTTTAATTTTTTTTTTGGGCTTCTTGTGGCCTTAAAAGGAGAGATAGGACAGTGGACAGAGCTGGAAATCAAGAAGAGTAGGGAATGAGGGGACTCGAAGCCTCCACACATGGGGCGTGCGCACCAACAACTTCGCCACCAGCGCTCCAGCTTCCTTGATTTTAAACGAGGATTTCCACCCTTTACACACAAACTTTCAGAGTCCTCTGGAGGGAAGTTTTTATTCCCAATGTGCAGAACAAAGTGGTTCAAGCTTTGTTCATGCTGCTGCTTAACGAGGTGATTTGAGTGGTTTTTAATTGGTTGGATTTTTGTCTTTGTCTCTAATATGTTGTTTCCTGTTTAATCTGTTTTGTGTGATATAATGGAGGTCATCATCTCGCTGGCTGCAAGTATAAAGTAACCTGAATCCTAAACCAGAAACAGGAAAACCCTGAGGTCACTGTTCTGAAAAAAGACCAGCACAGACTCTCTTCTTCAGGCTGGTAAGTCTAGATGACGGTGATGAACCAGTGAAACTTCTCCATGTTTGTCAGGCTTCTGTCAGCCTAAATCGGTTGATCTCATTTCTTTATCTGATGATTTTGTAAACATGGAAAGCCCCCTCCTCTTTAGATGAACACTAAACTGCAGCCAGGACTTGAGATGATTTACTGAACAAGAACCCGGGCAGCGACCAGAGCCTGGAGCCCCTCCTCTTCCTCGGGGGCCTCACACAGGAAGCCGGTCTTGTCGTATCACACTAAGTACCATCTCTTCAGCTGCACACTCGGTTCCTGCTGCAGATAACAGCCGAGACTTTGATGCAGTCTAAACCTGGCTTTGACTGCAGCACAATCCTCCACAGGCTGCTGCTGATGATGAACTTTTCTTTCCATCCACTCGGCTCCTTACACGATCTTTTTATTCACATTACATTTAGCTCCAGATTTCTCCAAAGCAACTCACAACACAACTTTCTCTTCATTGGCTTCCATGTTTGAAATCACACGACTCTTGTGATGCAGAGGATTGCAGTTAAATAAAGTGTCTCACTGTCGTCTCTGATGGTCTGTTTCACCTTTAACCAGTTTGATTCTCATGTTGGATGTTGGGTTTGCTGAGCGTTGATTAAACTGAGAAGCTGAACAACAGAAAGAAAAACACAAAAAGTGTTAAAGCAATAATCCGCTTTTCTTTAAGGTCAACATTATCCATACTTTCCAATATCACATGTCGGAAATGATAAAAAACTTTGAATGCAAATTAAACGACCGGAGATGAAAAAACGAATCTGTGGATCAGCTTCTCACCAGGCGAGGCTTGAACACGTAGCGTCTTCTCTGCGTTTTGACCTTTCATACACAAACTGTGTCACAGGTCATTAAAAACTCTCCTTTAGTAAAACTCCTTCCAGGGTGAAGATGTTCAGAAACTCAGTTTCAGGTGTTTCTGTGTAGACGGGGAAACAGAGTTGTGCGCCGGTTTCTCCTCCGTGTGACGTCATCGTGCGACGCTGTCTCTTTAGTTTACATGAGTAACCAAACTAGCGCTGGTGCTAACGATGCTAACTGGACTTTTTACACGCTCACACACACACACACACACAGTTACTCTCCCACTAGCAGAGACGCCTGATTGGACGACCGAGGTCACTGCTGCTTCATACAACACTCCCACCACACAAACCCCGCCCCCAACGTTGGCGGTTTTGGACGAGACCCGGACTTGGAGTTGTTTGGACAACTTTGAAAATCAAATGGTCATTGCAGAAGAACGGCGAGGACATCGTTGGTAAGGTGGCGTGCTCATGACAGCCTAGCAGTGGGGTTTTGTGTTTTCATGTTGACAAAGAGGATTTTGAGAACTGAGCATGTGTGGACGGGATAACCTCCATTTAAAAAAAAAATATCTGCCTACGTGTGGACTAGGCCTCAGTGATGCTTTTATTTTTATTTTTATTTGTCAATTTTATTTCATTAAAAAAAACCACAATAAAGTTAAGGAAAACAAACAAACATAAAATCTCAAATTTTGAATGAAAAGGAGCAGAAATAAGATTAATCTTATAATATCTGCCCCTCTTTTATAAAACATTAATTAAAACAAAACAGAACACTTCATTCAAAAACAATTTAAATTAAATTAAATTGGCTGCAGGCAAACACAGCCACCTGCAGCCCCCCTGTAAGTCCTCCTTACCAATTCATTATAGACTGTACAAAGTATATCACAATACATTTCTGTTACAGCATCACGAAACAAAACAGTATCTCACTGACATATTTCCACATATTTATTCAACAAACTGCCTTTAATTTTTCTTTTAAATATCATGTTTGATTTTCATTCTTTAGTTTCTCTGTTGAGATTCCTTTCACAGTAAAACAACGTTCCCTCAGTTTGGTTCTGAATCTCGGTTTATTAAAGATCTCTGTTCCTTTTAAATTATAACGGCTTTCCCTTTTTTCAAATCTGTTTTGGATATTTTTTGGCAATGTTTTCTGATTTGCTTTAAAAATAATTTGCAGAATACTGTAATCAACTAATTCATGAAATTTCAACAACTTTAACTGAATTTATATCGGGTTTGATGGATCTCTATACCGACTTCTCCTGATAGTTCTTATGGCTCTTTTTTGCAAAATTAAAATTGAATGGGTGAATGTTTTACAGGCACTTCCCCATACTTCAACACAGTATGTGAGATATGGAAGAATCAACGAGTTATATAAAATGAACAATGCTTTATTATCTAATGAATCCTTAACTTGTGTAGCAGAGCAAGTTTTTTTTGATATTTTCAGTTTTATATGATTTATATGTGACTTCCAGTTCAAATTTTCATCAATCAATGCTTTCCCTCTATTACTGAATATCATGAAATTTGTTTTTTCAAGATTCAGTGATAATTTATTTATAATAAACCATTCTTTTATTTTCTTCAATTCATTTTTGACCACATCCAACATCTGTGATATGTTATTCCCGGAATAAAATAAGGTGGTATCATCTGCAAACAGAATACACTTGAGCAGTTTGGATACATTCACAAACTCATTGATGTCCAAAATAAACAGTTTTGGTCCCAGGACTGACCCCTGAGGTACCCCAAAATGAATGTTGTACAGATCAGATTTTAAATTATTTATCTGAACGAACTGTTTGCTGTTTTCTAAGTAACTTGCTACCCACTGATGTGCCACCCCTCTGATACCGTATTTGCTAAGTTTTTTAAGAAGTGAAGAATGATCTATGGTGTCAAATGCTTTTTTGAGGTCAACAAGAATGCTTAATACTTTTTCTTGTCTATTGCAGTGGATATTTCTTCAGTTAATTCCATAAGTGCCATTGATGTGGAGTGATTGGTCCTAAAACCATACTGACTGCTGCTTAAAATATTATGTTTGTCTATAAACGTGTCCAATCTGGCTGCAAATAATTTCTCTAATATTTTTGAAAACTGTGGAAGCAAGGATACTGGTCTGTAGTTGGAGAAAATATGTTTGTCTCCATTTTTATACAGTGGAATCACTTTGGCTGTTTTCATCTC